CCTGCTCCCTCCTAACCTCCCACCTGCTCGCTCCTAACCTCCCACCTGCTCCCTCCTAACCTCCCACCTGCTCGCTCCTAACCTCCCACCTGCTCCCTCCTAACCTCCCACCTGCTCGCTCCTAACCTCCCACCTGCTCCCTCCTAACCTCCCACCTGCTCGCTCCTAACCTCCCACCTGCTCCCTCCTAACCTCCCACCTGCTCCCTCCTAACCTCCCACCTGCTCACTCCTAACCTCCCACCTGCTCGCTCCTAACCTCCCACCTGCTCACTCCTTACCTCCACCTGCTCCCTCCTCACCTCCCACCTGCTCACTCCTTACCCCTTTGCTCACCATCCTTGGCACTGCCATGGAGGCAAGAGAGGCTCCCGCCACCACCGCTGCGCTCGCAGCCATGAGCCCAGCTTCTGGCTGAGTGGCGCTCCTGCTGTGGGTGTGCACTGACCACAAGGAGGCAGCTCCTGCATTGAGCATCTGCCCCCTGGTGGTCAGTGCACATCATAGCGACTGGTCATTCTGGTCATTCCGCCGTAACAGTCACTGAGCTTTTTTATATATAGATGCCTCTACACTGCCTATTTCATGGTGAATTTTACACAATGAATTGACAAATGGATGTTCTATTTCATGGAGTACGATCTTTATTTTTGTAATTTTGTCGTTTTTGTTTCTGTAGCAGTGTTTTATGCGATCGCTTTAAATTTTAATTTTGCATGTGCCTGTGATTTTCAGCCAGGAGTGATTTTATCCCTGGGATACTTGGTAATATCTGGGAACATTTTTGATTGTCGTGGCTGGGAGGCTACTACTGGCATCCAGTAGGTGTGTAGAGGGAAGGATGCTGTTAAACACCTTACAATGCACAGCAAAGCATTACCTGTCCCAAAATATCAACAGTGCAGGGCTGGAAGCCCTGCAATATGCACTTAGGAAAAATAATTAAAAATGAAAAAATAAGGTTTAGCAACAGTTTTCAATATGTGACATTAATAGAAATCTTTGTATTAACCTCTGCAAATTTTGTCTTATCATTTCTACTCTCATTTTTCCTTTGCCCTGATGTCTTCACTCACATTTTAAAATATAACTTTTTAATATTTAACAACTTATATAAGCTAATTTTATTTTTTCTGTAACAAGGTCTAGAAATGTATGAAGTAATAAATGAAGTATCCTGAGAGTGATTAGAATCAGATAACCAGGGGTATAGTGAGCAAAGAATGTTTATTTCCAGGAGAACTGTGCCCCCTCCCCCCCCAAATACTGTTGTAGTTTGTTTGTTGCTGTGGTTCATGGTCTTGAAAATTGGAGAACCACTTCTTTCAGAGTAAAGTACATAAAGAAAACAAATAAAAAGAAGTCACAGCTGTTTGGTAAACGACATTTCTTTGATGGTTTGGCTTTATTCTTTCTCTGAATTTGATGACAGGTAATTTTTCTGTTTCTTTTCTCTGAATATCACCAGGACACTCAGTCACTTATTGGGAGCCCCGCAACCCGCACAGCACCTCACATTATTGGAGCAGAGGATGATGATTTTGGTACTGAACATGAACAGGTGATGATATATTTTTCTAAAAAAAACAGTAATATTCCGAGATATTTGATTATTGTAAAAATGAAAAATTTCTGGACATTAAAATTAACTGGTTAATTAATGGGTTAGTTGCTTATTTTAGCTTTAATCAATAAGAATGACTTTGCTTTTAAAATTGATAAGAAGTCACTGATTAGACCTAAGTACTTCATTTTAGGAGGGGGAGGTGTTATTGTAAAGGTTATTTTTCTTTTTATTTCAAATTCCAGTTGTTTATTGATGGTATATAGGAATATGATTGGCTTGGTACTTCAAGGAGCTTTTTATTTTTATTTATTTATTTTTTATTTTTATTTTTTTTTAAAGAAGGACTTTTTTTATATTTTATTGATTTTTTACAGAGAGGAAGGGAGAGAGATAGTTAGAAACATCGATGAGAGAGAAACATCGATCAGCTGCCTCCTACACACCCCCCACTCGGGATGTGCCTGCAACCAAGGTACATGCCCTTGACTGGAATTGAACCTGGGACCCTTGAGTCTGCAGGCCAACACTCTATCCACTGAGCCAAACCAGTTAGGGCTTCAGGGAGCTTTTTAAAATAGCTTTTTTGGCGCCCGGACAATGTGGGTCAGTGGGTAGAGCATCAGCCCACAAACCAAATGGTAGTGGCTTCAAGTCCTGGTCAGGGGCAGGTACCTGTGTTGCAGGTTTGATCCTGCACTCCAGGGCACATGTGGGAGGCAACCAGCTAATGTGTCTCTCACATCAGTGTTTCTCTTTCTCCCCCCACCTCCCTTCCACTCCCTTTAAAAAAGCAATGGAAAAAAATATCCTCCGGGGAGGGTTAAGAGCAAACAAAAAATTTGTGATTTTCTTTATAGGCAACCATGGTGTCTGTGAATAGAGACAATTTTTATTGTTTTGTTTCCAATCTGTTTATCTTGTATTTCTTGTTATTACCTTCACTGTGCTAATTAAGACATCCAGCAATGCGGCTGAACTGGATGGTGAGGCAGTACTTCTTCGTTTTATTACTGATCTCAGGAAGAAAGATGAGTCTTTCACCATAAAGTATAATAAAGTTAGCGTAGGTTTTCCGCAAACACTTTTTATTACCGGTGAAGGAAGTTTCCTTCTACTCCTAGTCTGCTGAGAGTTTTTATCATGAATGGATATGGAATGTTATGGAATGAGTGAGATGATTATATTAGTCTCCTAACATGGATTGTTATTAGCATGTTGAGCCAGCTCTACGTTCCAGGATAAATCCTGATTGGTCATAATGTGTTTTCCTTTTTAGATACAGCAGGATCCAACTTGCTATGATTTTGCTGAGGATTTTTGTGTCTGTGTTTAGGGGGATATTATTGTGTAGTTTGGGGTTTTTGTTGCTGTTGTTTTTGTAATTTGTTTGGTTGTTGTAGTTGGGTATTGCTGGCCACCTAGGATGAGTAAGAAGTGCTACCTCAGCCCGGCCTGTGTGGCTCAGTGGTTGAGCGTGACCTATGTATGTACCAGGAGGTCAGGGTTCGATTCCATGTCACGGCACACGCCCAGGCTGCAGGCTCAATCCCCAGTCGGGGGCGTGCAACAGGCAGCAAGTGTTACGTCCTCTGGTATTTTCTTTTTTTTTTTATAACAATTATGAATTTACTAAAGCCGGTGCACACAAAAATTTGTGCACTCAGGGTGGGGGGTCCCTCAGCCCGGCCTGTGCCCTCTCGCAGTCTGGGACCCCTCAGGGGATGACCACTTGCTGGCTTAGGCCTGCTCCCTGAGGGATTGGGCCTAAAATGGCAATCAGACATCCCTCTGGCAGCCCGGCAGCCCTCGGGGGATGTCCACTTGCCAGCGGGGAGCAGGCCTAAACTGCAGTCAGACATCCTTAGCGCTGCTGAGGAGGCAGGAGAGGCTCCCACCACCACCGCTGTACTGGCAGCCATCAGCCTGGCTTGTGGCTGAGCAGAGCTCCTCCCATGTGAGAGCGCCCTGACCACCAGAGGGCAGCTCCTGCATTGAGC